TGCAATGTCAGGACGAAAAGCTTAGTTCGATTATAAAGCAATCTATACTAACATTATAAAGCTGAAGAGTTTGTTTGTTTGAACGCGCTAATCTCAAGAACTGCTGGTCCGATTTGAAAAATTCTTTCAGTGTTAAATAACCCATTTATTGAGAAAGGTTATAGGCTATATAACGCTAAGACCGCTTAGACCATCACTGTGTCACGCTAAGACCAATACAAGCGAAGTACCAGTAAAGAAACACTGGTTATTTTCCCTTTTGAGAGTTTCCGGTGCGTGCGCTGCAGAAACTGTTAAGGTTTCGCTAAAATAATGTGACAGAATTGTTCTCCTTTAAAAGATCTAAAAAAAAATGTCCGCGATAGCATATGTCTATATGTTAAGGTTGGCTCACTATAACGTTTTTTTATGCTAACCAAATTTGTTCTAAAATAAAGCATTATTTGTGAACTAAATTCCACGCGGACGAAGTCGCGCTGATGTTAAAGATAATTATGAACTAGTTCGAAAAACTTTTAACGGAAACAGACTCGCAGTCCCTTTGGCTAAATGGAAAATTGTACGAATGCACTATGACGACATTTGTCACGTGGATCTAAATCATCGTTTAGCTTTGATTAAAAGCCAATATTGGTTTCTTAAAATGACACGCTTTATTAGGAAATACGTGGCAGCATGTCTTTATTGTACACATGAGAAGGATAACTATGTTAAAAAAAAAGAAGACTGTCTACATCCGATCTCTAAACCATCTGATACTATGCGCATGGTACAAATAGATAACATGATGCCCTTCTGTAGGACATCTAAAGAGCACCAACCAGTACATGATCGTAATGAAGGATGCGTTGTCTAAATTTGTGATAGCTGAACTAAGGCGTACTGTAAATTCAATCGGGACCATTCGTGCATTGAAAAATATATTAATAGGGTTTGTCCAGATACCCGAATCACGTGGTGACAGACTATGGGAAAGCTTTTACGAGTAGGTACTTTAAAAAAATATCAGAAGATAAACAGTTTAGGCATACGTTAAACGGTATTGCTTGTCCACGCGCTAATTGGCCAGGTTGAACAAACTAAACATTCAATTTTAGATGTGTTGCGGGCAACTGATCCTAGTGAAGCTTCAAATGATTTAGTGAACTCCGTCATTTGAGGCACAAACAACACAAAAGCAGCAGCGGCTACAAGCCTTGTGATTTAATCTTTGCGCGCTCTGGTAGATCAATATGTGATGTTTCGATTCCTGATCACGAACCAGAAACTGTTGACGCACGGCGCGGCGGCGTAAGATAGCTACACAACGTTAATATAAAAAAATGCTCATGTTTATAAGAAAAGGGATTTTGTATCATAGAGACAGGCTCCAACTAGTTAGTAGCGCCGCTAGGATTAATACCAAATTAGAGATTTGTACTCAGGTCCGTATGTAGTAACTAAAGTAGTAGGTAACAATCGGTATCAAATTAGAAGTATATCTAAAAGGTTTACGAAGTTACAAAAACTTCACTGGCCTGGTATCAACAGATTCATTAAGGCCCTATAAAAGTATAGCCCATGTGTCCGATAGCGCTAGTCGTTCCGATGAGCAGCCCGAAACTGAAGACCGTATTGATTTATTTGAGAACTAAATGTTTTTGTGTGTTCCCCATTGCGGGAGCAATTGTTGCAGGATGGCCGAATGTAACGGACGTGACGTCAGCTGTTATGCCCTGCCGCCAGCCAAGCCGCCAAGCCAAGGCTTGTCCCAATTTACCCCAGAATCCCAATTTACCCCATGTCATGATACAATTAAAGTTATTTTAATTTAAATTCGGACATAGACAATTTTAACATAAAATATAAAATGGTTTTATTTTCTATCAAGGATCCCTAGCCTAATTATTAATTGGCAATGACCAGAGACTTACAGGTGACGTCTAGACGTGGATGTCGTATTTCGATGATTCATTATTTGCAGATGGATATTAGAATTTCTGCACTGATGTTTGAGCGTTCTTGGATTTGGATGTTGAGATTATGGTCTTCTTCTTTGTATTAGATTCTCTTCTTCGAGTGGATCTGATGAACTGTTAGCACTTGAAGTTTTGTTCACTTTTCACCGGGCACGGCAATTTGTAGTTTTGTTTTTAGGATGCGCGAATTGGCGATTTTCGCATCCCACCGCTGCCACCAATTTGTTATGGGAATTCTCTCTGAGGTCGTTTTAAAAAAGGAAGCTCTTAGGATACAACTATTTATTGGATTTTAAACAATATGGATAATAAATAACTCTCAGAGTAGGTAATCCCGGCAGCCGCACCCGTACTCTAACACAGTTCACTGACTACTGACCGTTTTCCGGTCTCCTATAAGTCTCTGCCTCGGACCGTCTAGTCAGCGGTTCGAGGGTATCAGCAGTTTAGGGTTCGGTAGGAATATATAACAGTTTGCAGTGATTTTTTTTTTTTTTTTCCTACCTAAGCTGAGAGCCTTGAGAGGCTATGTCAGCGTAACCCTAACTTTTGTAGGTGAGCTCACGGGGCTCAAACCACGTGATGGAATTGATTATATATGACCGCGGTGCCGCGGGCGGCCTTGTTTCGCCGCTGGCAGAACCATCGACAAGACGCACGTATCGCGCGGCTGCTTATTTCACCGCGGGCGGTCGGCGGCTATGACGTGACCTTTTTAAGTTTTGCAAGCGATAGGTACTGATTTTTTAAGGCACCTACCTATATAGTTATAGCTTAAAATTAATTCACACAAAGTGCTCGCCGCGACTCTGTCATTCCGGTGTGACTCAGCCCTTATAGGTACCTACCTATTTGTGAGAATACGGTACTCAACGGACTTGTCAAGCAAATCGAGTGAACTTAAATTAAGTGTATAATCTATGAACTTGACGTTGGAGTGGCGCATACTATAGCTGTCTCGTTCACACGTTCGTTTTTACACGAATAAAAATGTACCGTATGAACACCAGGGTGATTGTACGTTGAAATAAAGAATACAAAGAAAACGTGCAGGACAATGCCGTGTGAACGCAATCGCCACGTTTAAAAGTTTGTCCATTCTTAATATATACTTAGTCCTATTGATAATATTATTGAGTAGGTAATAATCTTGAATGCACTTTAAATTGTGGGACGAAAGGCCATTTGGTTTAAGCGATATTTTTTCAACTTTACAGGAGTGCACCGCAGGTAGGGAAAGTAAGTACCTACTAGTTGTAGTGCTCTAAGCAGAACCTACAAATGAAACAAAACCAAATCCAACATTTTTATTGGAAAAAATAACTTATAAAACAGTTCGACTCTACACGCTTTTGGCGAGTTCCTGTGCCTTGGCGATCACGTCCTCTATGGTGCCCACCATGTAGAAGGCAGCCTCCGGAATGTGATCCAATTCGCCGCCCAAAATCTAAAAGACAAAAAGGTTAGTTCGAATCTGTGATCTGTCACAACGACCATACGAACAGATCGTTACCCGACGCAGACACGTTTCTTCTCGTTCGAAACATGTTCATGTAAAAAGTAAAGGAGTAGGAGGGCTCCTAAGGGGATGGGGGGCTTGACTACCACTCCCGGGCACGAAGCGGTGCTGTTTGAAGGGAGTATTGCCTTTCAAAGTATGGTAGCAGAGCAGCAAACTCGACATTCAGACGATATAATAACTTTATAACTTCGCTCTAACATCCTGACCAGTATCAAGTATCAGCAGAGCAGCCAAAAAAAATTGTTAGTACGATTTTCTATTCAAGTGTGATTTTTTAGTATTAAAATACATTTGTCCACAACGTAAGCTGGCATCACTATGCGATATTTTTTTCTTACATATTCGCTGGTAGCCAAGGGGCTATTCCAGCTACGCGCGAACGGGTAGTTGATCTCACGGGCTCAACCTGATACAATTTGATAACACTGACTCCAGCAAGCGCAGCGCTTCGCAGAATCTACCACCGGGTCAGAATCGCGACCAATTGAGAAGATCCGGCGAGACATTCAGTAGGCAGTCGAGTTTACCCGGGAATGTAACAGTGTCACCTGACTATTTAACCCAACTTACGGAATGAAGACAGGTAGCGGTAGGCAGCGGCTTGGCTTTGCCCCTGGCATTGCTGAAGTCCATGGGCGACGGTAACCACTCACCATCAGGTGGGCCGTATGCTCGTCTGCCTACAAAGGCAATAAAAAATAAAAAAGGTACGGGCGCCGCGCTCCCGCTATAATCCGTTTCCATCCAACCGGTGCTAGTTGATTTTGATTTGATTATTCGTCAAATCGTTTTGTACACCCACGAGGAGTGCAGACCGACAATTATTTCAGTGACAACAAACCATGGACAACGAGCGACTCAGCAATGAAGGACCACACTATCCACCACACCATTAATATTTGTGTAATGGTCATTAATTATTGTCATTCTTTCTTTCTATCTTTCCTTAGACGATTCTTGTCCAACAAATGATAGCCCGAGGCATTAAAATCGCTCCTTGTACTTTTTGTCTCGATGTACAATAAAGCATTCTGTGTCTAAAAGAGAGTAGGCTCCGAGTTTCTAGCCGATTCCTCTCAATGGTAAACTACATTTCAAATCCATGGTAAAGTCGGCACCATTCGACAGCTACTCCTACTTATGAAGCTTTTTGATTTTGGCAAAAATCCCCTTCGTTTAGTATTTAATTGCTCACACAGATGAATGCCGGCTCTCGTGGTGTCACACCTAGAGTACGATTGTTACGCAAATTATGTACATTCTAATTATTCTTCGGATACTCTAAGGAGAGAATAAAGATTACTATTTAAGATTAAATTTTATACTATTTAAGATAAGATTATTATTTCAGCAATGTGCGTCCGCCGGCGGGACTCGAACACCGACACAGTCGCGTCGATCAATACGAGTGCACCGGACGTCTTACACATTGGACTACAATGCTTAACGACACCGGTGACTGTAGACAGCCCAAGATAACTTACCCCCGCCCCCACATTATAGAGTAACCCACGAAACCCTCAACTGCATTGTCAAACATCTCTCTCGTTCTTCAAATAGGAACGCATCACTGCTATTCGCGGCCGACACGTGCAGTATTGTGGTACCGAAGCGGGCGGCCTTAAACTACGCCCGAAGTTCACAGAAACAACATCATACCTTTTGGAAGCCTTTGATGGTTTCCTCCAGTTTCACCAGTTTGCCGGCGTGACCGGTGAACACCTCAGCTACCTGCATCGTCACAAAGATACCATTATGGCCGTTCAAAAAGTGATCACGGCCTCATGGGCTAGAAGAAGACACCCGGTGCATGCACACAAGGCCACTGTTAGAAAGAGAACTGGCTAATGTCGACTTCATAGAGTGCTATCTCTCTTGCACACCGGCCGCCCATATGATATTTGTCAGTCGCTATTCAAGTGCGGCAGTGTCAGGACGGAATTTTATTGTTTCGTGTGAGAGATAACGTTATATAAAGCCGAGATTAGCCGATTATCATCTCTTTCCAAATGTGATGATCCAAAGTACGTACTTGGCACGCGTTTACAGATACCTTNATGTCGACTTCATAGAGTGCTATCTCTCTTGCACACCGGCCGCCCATATGATATTTGTCAGTCGCTATTCAAGTGCGGCAGTGTCAGGACGGAATTTTATTGTTTCGTGTGAGAGATAACGTTATATAAAGCCGAGATTAGCCGATTATCATCTCTTTCCAAATGTGATGATCCAAAGTACGTACTTGGCACGCGTTTACAGATACCTTGCTCGATTAAGTAACAGCATCGTATAATACAATAAAGTATGTTAATCTTATAGACACGTCTAATTAGCCAGGGACTTGAATCATTCTTACTATTGCAGAGACTCGGCTGAACTCAAACGTCAGCAGTGCAAGCATCCAGCCGGCCGCGTCTAATACTGCATAGACTACAGCTCACCTGGAATGGCTGCGAGAGAAACCTCTGTATCTTCCTGGCTCTGGCTACCGTGAGCTTGTCGTCTTCGGAGAGCTCGTCCATGCCGAGGATAGCGATGATGTCTTGCAGCGATTTGTAATCCTATCCAGAGACCACTTGTTAGAAATACAAAATCCGGCGACGCTCTGCTCTGTATAAATAATCGCGTAACCACTGCCGTATTTGGACGGTACGGCAGGGTGCGCGACCCCTACCCTCAAGGGACAGCGACGGCGGCACTGAGCTTCACCACGATCGGAGGAAGGAGAACGCATAAAAGTACAAATGTTTCCCTGTATTTATAATGATATAGATTTTAAAAAAAAGGCTCGTAACTTGCGAACAAGCGTTAAGGCGTGAGCTAGAGAAACCGATAAGAAAAGGGAAAAGCAATGAAAGAGGAAAAAAAACATGATGGCGAAGCCAATTAAATTTAATGAAATGAAATGAGAAATGATGTCAAATGATATGTAATCATAATAAATTATGTAAAATGATGTGGAATGAAATGAAATTGAATAAAGAGAATTGAATGGGCAAGGCACAAGATAGGCGTCAGTTAATTGTTGATTCCAATAATAGAGAAAATTTGGGAAGAGAACAATAAAACTGCACCAGTGGAATAGTTTCCATTTTATGCGCCACGATCCCAATTCTACATTAAAATTTAGTTAGTTAATCTAGTATTATGATGAACAATAAAAGCAAGACAACCTGCAGTATTTTCTGCACGCCCCTAGCGACTCCGTAATGCTCGGCCCCGATGATGTTAGGGTCCATCACTCTCGAGGTCGAATCCAGGGGATCCACTGCCGGATACACACCCAGCTCCGCGATGGCGCGCGAGAGGACCGTGGTCGCGTCCAAGTGAGCGAAGGTCGTGGCCGGAGCCGGATCCGTGAGGTCGTCCGCCGGGACGTATACGGCCTAATAAATCATTACAATTGGGATACATTTGCAAAAGAGATAATCTAGGGCGAAGAATGGAGTAGAGTAAATAGGTTGGCTTAGCGAACTATGACATCAGTGTCATTACAATAGGAACGTGAGAGAGCCATAGCTCATCAAAATATCCATTTTCCGAGTCAAGAACTCTATTGCCCACACTTGCTAGCGAAGCGGCTGCAAAAGGAAGGCAGTTAATTTATCATCGCATTATTAATTAAGACAGCCATGACAGTATTACGAAGGCTTTTCATCTAGTCGGCAGAAAACTACTCTTCTAGGTCATTTTTTTTTTTTTGTAGATCAGATCACGAGCCTTCTGCTAGTGGTAAGAGCTTACCGGAGCACATAGATATACAACTACATAAATGCCATCATTGACCTTGAGACATGACTTCTAAGTCTTAGTTTTACAGTACAACGACTACCCCATCTTTCAAACCTTATAACTGCTTCGCGTCCGAACGCGTGCGGACTCGCAAGGCTCCCCTCCCTACTAAATCAATACACAGATCACCTGTACGCTTGTAATGGAGCCGGCCTTGGTTGTCGTAATCCTCTCCTGCATGGTGCCCATGTCCGTGGCCAGCGTGGGCTGATAGCCGACCGCCGATGGAATCCGGCCCAGCAACGCTGATACCTAATTAATTACAATTATTGGCCCAGTTTTTTGGGCGCTCAATCTTCATTCTCGTCTCTTGAACTCTATTGTCATTAAAATCGATGAAATTTCGGACTTACGTTTCAACGCTCATGATTAACTTAAAATTTAAGTTGTATTGACGTAAAGCTGACAGTGGTTGGCCATGTCGACGGGAAAAAACCATGTGGTCAATAACTTAGCTGCTGGTCAAAACTGATAGCATCACTTACGAGCATCTTTATACGTGAAACTTTTGGTGGAGAGGAATTGTGCAACGGGTGAAGAGAGAATAGTCATCAATTTAGACACGACCTTCAAAAAAGATGAAGATGCAGACTTTTTTTATTGCTTAGATGGGCACAGCCCACCTGGTGTTAAGTGGTTACTGGAGCCCACAGACATCCACAACGTAAATGTGCCACTCTTCAAGCCGAAACTTATTACTGCTTCACGGTAGAAATAGGTAGGGTGGTGGTATCCACCTGCGCGGACTCACAAGAGGTCCTATCACCAGTAAGAAGAACATGAAGATCATAAGATCTTGACACGTTCCACAAATGGTTTATCGGCCGTTCAAAGATTCAGTTACACAGATTTATAGATACAAGTCGAGCCAACAAAAAGCGTGTCAACATTTTTATCACACGTACGTACCTCGGAGCCGGCTTGCGTAAATCTGAAGATGTTGTCAATAAACAACAATACGTCCTGGCCCTCCTTGTCTCGGAAATGCTCAGCCAAGGTCAACCCGGTCAAGGCCACCCGGGCACGCGCCCCAGGGGGCTCATTCATCTGGCCGTATACCAGGGACACCTAGAACCGTTACGCATAATTAAAGCAGTATATTCGTCCTCGCGGCATTAACAAGTTGTATTCCAGAGATGTTCTTAAATATGCCGTGGCCAATCGTTGTGTATTACAGATTTATTTACTGTTACCTCGTTTACTTTAACCCCGAATGACGTCATATGTAGTGAAGTTGCGTTCAGCCATGTTTTATAAAGCCCGCGTGGTGTACGCAAATATTAAAACTTGTTTTAAGGTGGTAAATAGCTTTCAAGAATCCCAGACAGTTTAAAGCCAAAAGGATAAGACGCCTGGTGCATTTGTATCAAGCGACACGATTATCCCGGTGTTCGAATCCCGTAGTCAGGTTACACATTGTTCCAGTGAAATATGCACTTGACGCATGTCCAGTCTGAGTGTAGCTGGAATAGCCTCTTAGACTACCACCCAACCAAGCAAACAAACAAAAATATTCTAGATATGAAATAGTGTGCTGTCTCATGCTGTCTGTCATGACCGCCAATGTGTTAATAAATTACGTCCAGCACTGAAGGGTACAGTGATGACTCGGTGTGATCGAGAGTTACTAGATGCATTTGTTTTAAGATGGAAGGATTACTGTTTGCTAAGAAGCTTTTCGAGTTTCGCCGGGACAAGTGGGCCAGCTCGGGCCCAGCTGAGAGGTGGGGGAGGCTTGTTAACAGCTGCCGGAGTGCCTCCAATTCAGACCTAAATGCTCGAGGGCAGCCACTTAGCGACCCACCGAGAGGATTCGGCGAGAAACTCAGCGGACTTTCTCTCACCTTCGATGTTTTATAGTCGTCCGTGATAACGCCCCCCACTTTCATTTCGTGATACAAGTCGTTGCCTTCGCGGGTCCGCTCACCGACACCAGCAAACACCTAATATAAAAAAGCGCAATGGTTATTGCAGAGCGCGCAATGGAACCGTTGCTTTCATAAACTGTAAGCGAAGGCATGATGCACATCTTCAAGTGGCCTTTTGCTAGTGTTTCTAATATCAGTAACACCATTACATTGATAAATACTATTAAATAAATCACATCCTTAAATAAAGTTTCACTTCTAATTTTTGACTACTGCCGTGCTGTACCGAATGCTATTTGAAATAGACAACAGAACTACCATTTTGTGCTTCAGTTATTAGATGAACTTTGTTTGATTACGACTTTCGTGTTTATAATTATTTTTAATAAAACTCTTACATACGTGCTGTTGTAATAATAAACAAATAATCATTTAAAGTTTACTTTATCAATAAACAATAAGTATATTTTATTGTAATTTGGGTACCAGATTTTAAACAGAAATCACAACACTCTTTATTTCACTCACTGATTTTTCATCTCCGCCTTATAAATACATAAATACTTTTTTTTACATACCTTATTATATTATACACATTCAGTCAATTTTTTTCCTACCTATTCTAGTAACCTCGAGGGAATTAGATTCAGCGAACTAGGCCAGTCAATAAAGTATAGGGAATGGATGATTTGCTTATTCCAAATTCAGTTCCAATTTTTTTTTTATTGTTGTTAGGTAGGCAAACCGTTTTCTGTTTTGGTGCGAAGTTGTTACAACTGTTATTTAGATTAAATATAGTGCTGTGTTTAATTATATCGCGCTGTCGTAGTCGAGTCCAACCTAACATTCATGAAACGGATAACGAGACGTGGGCTTACGAGTTTGACATACAAACTAGTCAACAAGCTTTCCAACTGAACCGAAACCGAAAGACCTCGCCAAAGTCGCCAAAAAGTCGAAGTCATATTTCATTTATTGCTTAGATGGGTGGATGAGCTCACAGCCCACCTGGTGTTAAGTGGGTACTGGAGCCCATGGACATCTACAACGTAAATGCGCCACCGCATATATAAGATGTTATTGAGATTGAGATATAAGTTCTAAGATCTCAGTATAGGTACCTACAACGGCTGCCCCACCCTTCAAACCGAAACGCATTACTGCTTCACGGCTGAAAAAGGCAGAGTGGTGGTACCTACCTGCGCGGACTCACAAGAGGTACTACCACCATTCATGTTTTCGTTGTCCACGATCCGCGGTGTTGTGCATGTCGAGCTATTGCCGGAAGGTCAAACGGTAAATAAACAATATTATTTGAGCGTTATGCGGAATTTAAGAAACAAATTCGACGAAAAAGGTCAGCTTTATGCAAAGAAAAACCTTGAATTTTACAACACGATGATGCGCGTTCGCACAAGATCATCGGATTCGTTGTGAACGAATTTTTAATCCTATATGATATCCTTGAGAGGCTACTTCAGCTTCGTCCTAACATGTGGGTGAGCTCACGGGGTTCAAACCTGATGACGTTGCTAACACGAGCCCTAGCAAGAGCTGTGCTTTGCAGAATCTATCACAGGATCGGAAACGCGACCCACTGAGAAGATCCGGTGAGAAACTCAGTGGGCTGTATCTGTGGGTTAATTTACTCGTCAAACCCTTCGTCGCAAGCGACGGGTTCGACGAGAACGATGAGCGGATTTTTGATCAATAACTCAACAAATACCTTCGAGCAACCTCCTTATTCACCACCGGCCAACTTCTTACTTTTTCCTATACCCAAATTACCACTTCGTGTCACCAGCTTTCATTCGCTAGAAGACTAAAAGAAGAATTCGCGAGAACTGAACTCAACAAGTATTATCATTTCTGAAGGAGCATACTTTGAAGGTGATTAAATATGTCTGAACAACTAACATCTTGTACATTATTGATCTTTTCCCGGTACTTTCTTGACAGCGGAGTGCGGTACACAAACACAGCTGAGGCCATATATTTAAGATCGTTTTTGATCGATTTTTTCAAGCTAACAGCTATCTTGTTTGTCCCAATTTCACGTCGAAACGAAGTAAGGGATTGTCAGGAACTTTTTAAACTGATAGCTTTGTAACTTACGATACCTTTTATCCCGAAACAAATAACTTTGTTCCGTGGGAGACTAACTACACCAATATTTTTCCTAGTCCTTACCGGACGAAGCCGCGGGTAACAGTAGGTATACATAGATATTAAATTAGATTAACTAGGCCCAGATTGACAACAAACAAACAAGTTCGTCAACAACAACGTATACCTGCTCGAAGTGAGAATCGAGTCTACTACTGCGCCGTCGAGTCATTAACATAATATTCCGCGCGTCGTTGATGTCCATGAGCAACGGAATTCACTCATCGACAGTTACAATCAAAATTCTCTTTCTCCTTTCCGGTAACATAGAAAGTAACATTAGACTCACAGAGAAGCCACCATGGGCTTTGGCCACGTTGTTGATCAGCTCCATGATGAGGACAGTCTTCCCGACACCGGCGCCACCGAAAAGACCAATTTTACCACCTTCCAAAATACACAAAGTAAATATTTCGTCTTCTTGCATTAAATCTGTATAATCTCAAAACTTACTAAATTTTACAGGAGAGTGTTTTAAAGGTTTCAACATATGATATTTTTAATATTAATGATCTTTGCAACATTTATTTTTTAGTTTTACCAGTTAAATTATTTGTCTTTTAAAGAAAGATTTTTTTTTTATTCAAAATTAATAAATTTTGTTAATAGTAGTCAAAATATAGGTAAACTAAAAAAAAAAAACTAAACTAAACTACGCTCTTTTGACAGTATTTATGAGAAAAATACTGGTGATACCAAATGGTTCCGCATATTAAACCAATTTTGAATATATGTATTTGGAAATTGTACACTTTTAATGCGAAAAGACGATTTGTCCATTGCAACCTAGTGGACAAAAATCCAATATGTCGCCTACAGACGACTGTGATTTCTTCTGTAATTCGTTCAATTCAATTTAATTCTCTTTGCACACTACCTATTATTAACATCCAAATGCCCGCGCAGTGGAATACAAATATTTTTTGTACATATTCTTGATGTAGCTAAGCGATAAGGTCCAGTATTGATTGTATACAATCAGTTGCAATACTACCCACCCCTACGATAATAACAGACAGTTTGTAAATTTTACAGTTTTCCTTTACAATAATTCTTTTTTACGGTTTAATCTCGCGCAATCGTCCGCGACCATGAAGCGAAACAAACGTTGGCAACGATTTAATGACGACGAATTAAAAAACGAGAGATTAAACCTTAAGAGTAATTTTAATCGGGGGGCACGCTTTTTTGAGGTTGTAACAATCTTAAAATTCTTCTACACTGAACCAGTTGATACCATACCCTATTAACCTACCCCCCTCTCGAGTTTCATTGACCTAAAATTGATTTGACAATTAATTAAAATTACTCTTAAGGTTTAGTCTCACGTTTTTATCTTCAGTATAATAATAATCATGGTGATTTAATTATATTGTCAATGAGCATAATATTTGAGTGTCGACGAACAACTAAAACGAAAACCAAGAATTCGAAACTCGGAAATAATATTAACAAAATAACTGTAAAGTAAAACACGAAATTAAACCGTAAAAGTAGTTTTAATTGTGTCTGCAGCTCACTAGTGCTACGGAGACTTGCCCTTACAAACCTTTGACGTACGGAGCCAGGAGATCCACGACCTTGATGCCCGTCACGAGGATCTCCTGTTCGACTGACATCTCGACGAAGGGCGGAGCGTCAGCGTGTATCGGAGCGAACTTGTCCGTCTGTATCGGTCCGCGCTCGTCTATAGACAAGTCCTTGTCTTTATTTAGCACCGTTAGATGAGCCTTCAGGTCGGAGCCTCAGAGAGCTTGTCCTGAATGCACGAGTACTACGCGGCAGAATCGTGGCGAAGAAATCGTGTTTTGATTTGAAAGAGACGAAAACAGTTTCAGACGTGGAGAATGCATAAAAAGGAATACAGGAAGAAAGGCATTCTTCAAGGGAGTCTTAAAGTGGGACGCCCACTGAGTTTCTCGCCGGATCTTCTCAGTGGGTCGCGTTCCCGAATCGGTGGTAGATTCTGCGAAATACTGCTCTTGCTAGGGTCAGTGTTAGCATCACTCCGGTTTGAGTCCGTGAGCTCACCTACTAGTTAAAGTTACACTGAAATAACCTCTCAAGCTTAGGTAGGAAAAAAAAGAGTGGGAAAAGGCGTTCACTCAGTTCTATGCCCCTTCTTCTAATACCAAATTCTACTTAACACGTTTCATAATACGTAGGCACGTTCTAGTTATTTCAAGCAAAAAAAACTATTAATTAATTTTCTTCATCTACCCGACTTTCTGACCTATAGGCTCTCCTATGACGTTGATGATTCGTCCAAGAGTTGGCTCCCCCACTGGTATCGTGATCGGAGCTCCCGTGTCCACTACCGGCTGCCCCCTCACCAGACCCTCGGTGCCGTCCATGGCTATAGTGCGGCACGTATTCTCGCCCAAATGCTGTGCCACCTCCAGGATGAGCTTCGGCGCTGGATGAAAATTCCGAGCTCTCTTTTATCACGACTAACTAATTCAATAATATTATTACTACATACGATCCGACCATTCAAACCATTTTTTTTTAATTACTTAAAAAGAGAATTCTCTCTCTCTCTCTTTCTCTCTCTCTCTCTCTTGGGCTCTCATTTCGTTTCAAAATTTTTGTTACCTCAAAACTTTTCTGACGTGAACCGATTCTGATGTTTCTTTCATTCAAAACCTGGTGGTCGGTCGTGTGATTCCATTTATCAAGATCCGACCAGTTGTTGCTGAGTTTAACCTCAACAGCGCGTATTTGATTGACTTCGACTGCATTGATGATGTTGGTTCTCATTTTATAATTTTCAAGTCGGTGCTGGGACGTGTAGATTGTTAGGAACATAATATTTATTAACGCAATTTAAATATACACGATCTAAAATATTATCTATATCTATACCTAATAATATAAAGAGGAAAGATTTGTTTGTTTGCATTGAATAGGCTCCGAAACCACCGAACCGATTTAAAAAATTCTTTCACTGTGGGAAGATACACTATCCCCGAATGTCACCCGGCTATATTATTATTATTTTTTAATCCTAGTTAATCTATCCTAGTATCCCTAGTAATCCTAGTAATCCTTACTAAAACTCCAATAAAGTAACCTTTTTGCAAAAATAAAAAAATAATAATATTAAGAGTTGATTTAAATAATATTATACTACTAAAACTTTTCTTTATAATGTCCTTTTTTTAGTAACCTGACGCAAATAGAAGGTTTTATGTGCGTGTATTATCTATGAAGTACCCGAGCGCAGCCGGGACGGCGCCGCTGCGCGCCACTATTGTAAGTATGATTTAAATTCATTGATTTAGAATCAATCCTCAGGCCCATCAAATAGGTAAATATTATTATTAAAGTATTTAGTAAGACTGCTAACTTTTAAAATAATTCATGACTAGGTATTTAACCTACTTACTAGTTTCATGACCATCAATAACTTTTATTCACTTCCGCTGTCCAAAAGCGCGGGGCGACCGCACACAATGACGGCCATTACGGATTGAGCGCAGTTACAAACATAATACTTTGAATAAACAAGACAGAATATAGAAGAAAACAATAATTTGAAGATAGAAGCAGGACGTTCTCCGGATGTGCATCGGATAAGGCAATTGATTTATTCTAAGTACCTAAAGCGAAGAACTATGTGAAATTGTTGTAATAAAGGAATTATATCTAAAGGGTATTCAGATTTTTCGGCCAAAGCCCCATCAGGGAGCGTATTGTGCAAATATGAAGTTAGATTTCGAAGCGTAGAAGAGATGAAATTGTGTTTATATGTATAATGGCGGCGCAGAAAAAAATGACACGTCATGATGGGCTCGTTTTTTTTTATCAAAATAAAAACTTAAGACTCACCCGTGGTCTCCAACTGGTACTCCAACGAAGGTTACGTTGAAGGCATTTTGATTATTGCAGCACTTATTACATTAATGAATCAGTCGTAGTGTTATGTATGACGTAGACGTTACGCATATTACTTAGTTGTTCTTATATTAAAATTAAATCCGAAGCGCTTTACGTCCATAGATACACTTAATATTGCGTTAAATAAACAATAAATATAAAATAATTAACTATAAATTTAGTACATACCGAATGCGACGCTAAAAATTTAAAAAGTGAAAAAAAAAAAGACGCTCTAAACTTTTTTTTTATTTAAATTTAAATTCGATTTAAAACTTCGTCGAGGTTCGATTAGTTTCCCACAAAGGTGCCGTCAAAAGAGTATTATAATCTTAGAATAATTAAGATTATAATATGATACATACTCTAACTGAATTTAAGCTGTGTTGAAATAGACAGCGCGCGAAAGATGTGCGCGTACAGTCGTTTTTTTTAAATTTTGTATTAAAATATAGAGTTATTTCCGAATCTAAATACGGCCGTCAGTAACTTGAACTATTAGCTTGAGTTATTAAATAATCCGTTCTACTGGATTCGATCGTGTCACGTCATGCAATTTTATTCCCTTTCCTTTATTTTTTCAGTTTAACAAAGACAACAATTTTTAAACGGTTTTAACGTAATGATCACATGATTCACAGAATAAAATAAAATGTACGTAAAATCAAAGCCAAGAAATAGGGATGATATGGTTCGGACGTAAACATAAAAGAGTCGACTTCAACAAAATGATATAAAATTATCATCAATGTAAAATAAATAAGTATGCATTATTAAGTACAATTCTAAAACAATTGGTCGGATCTTGGTAAGAGGGACCACATTAGAAACATCAGTTTTTAAACATCCTTTGTTTGAGGGCGGTTAAAACACTTCACAGGAGCATGTCCTTGTCGTCCGCACCGTAATACCATTAACGTCAAATTTTAAACAACTTGCGAGTTTAAGCTATTGCATAGCTTTTATCGCTACCGAATCAAGAAATTCCGTAACGAAAATAAAACCTAACACTCCCACTCCGCCTACCATGTAGCTCGCCTTCAACACGTTCACACGTTGCGCTTGTGTAGTGTTTGTGAATAAGCGCGCGGCGTGACGTCGCACTGCATGCGCATTATGAAAGTTCTGCCCATTTCTCTCTCGCGCGGTCTAGCTTATGAGTGTGAAGGGGACAGTTAATGTTTTGCTTTTGTTAATGTTTATAAATATAGCGTGGTCTTATTTTAATATTGTTTTAATATTAAATTATTATTGTCTAATTATAATTGCATAAGTTGATAAAAAATGCTATGCAATAGCTTTACCGCGGCAGTCCCTGAGTGCCACAAGTGCTTTTTTTATTGCTTAGATGGGTGGACGAGCTCACAGCCCACGTGGTGCTAAGTGGTAACTTTAGCTCATAAACATCTACAACGTAAATGCGCCACCCACCTGAGATATAAGTTTTAAGGGCTCAGTATAGTTACAACGGCTGCCCCACCCTTCAAACCGAAACGCATTACTGCATTAAAAAAAGTTAGAATAAAAGTCTTCCTTACTGCGTCCAGGCACTTCCAGTGCGTTTAATATGGGAGGCAGGTGTGCATCGTACTGTACGTCAACCACCGCTCCAATCACTGCAATAGACACCAATTTTTATTTTTTTTCCTTACCTATTCTAGTAAACTCGAGGGGCTATACTAGATTCACAGAACGTGTAGGTGAGCTCACGGGGCTCTAACCTGATGACGTTGCTAACACTAGCCCTAGCAAGAGCAGTGCTTCGTAGAATCTAAATACCACCGGATCGTAAACGCGGCTCATTAAGAAATTCCTGCGAGAAACTCAGTGGGTTGTGTCTGTGGGTTAATTTACTCATCGATGACTGATGCTTGAGGTACCTAAAAGCACCGTTAATGGATCGGGAGGATCCGTAATGATGTGTTTAGGGCGACGTCGACTGTTTACCATTCGGTCCGCAGCATCGGGTATGAAAAACCAATAAAGGCTGTACTTCATGCAATAGCATCTCGAATGGCAAAGGCAATGCAAAAAATGACTCATTGCGTCTACGACTTATCAAACAGTTCGAGATATAAGTATTTGATGGATAAAATTTCGTTATCGGAGCGATTTTCGAGTATACTTTTGGAGGAGTCATAATAACAATAATAATGTTTATTAATTAAGTTTATTACGATTGAAGGTTTTAGTTACGATTATTTAGTTTAATTAGTTTTATTATTTAGTTACGATTATTAAGTTTTATGGGAGGTCATATTTATTGGAATCAGTTACTTGTTCAAGTTCGTTGGATTCCAAATAAGACGTCATTAGGTTTGACTGACTTCGATTTATAGTTTACTAGCGACCCGCCCTCGCTTCGCTTCGGAAACATTTTTTTATTGATAGCGGCTTCGATCAACACGATCGTTACTATTGTTGATCGAAAGATAGCTGAGTCCCGCAATGTTATCCGCGGTTATTGTCGTACCGCGGGTGAAGCCGCGGGGTGAAGCTAGTCAAAAAAAGTAGCCTAAGTTACTCCTTATATCATCAGCTACCTATCAGTGAAAGTCCCGTCAAAATTGGTCCAGCCGTTCCAGAGATTAGCCGTAACAAACAGACTGACAGACAAAAATTGAAAAAAATGTTATTTTGGTGTATGTACCGTATATATATTGATATGCATGTAGTAAAAAGAAGCTATTTCAATATTACAAACAGTCACTACAATTTTATTTATATGTATAGATGATTCTTGAAATTCGAGTTATCGAGTCGAGTAAAATGTACTAAAATGCCTACACAGGGAAATAAATATTTCAAAATAGTAAAGCTCCCCTCCCCTCTTTTTCTGCTCCTTCCGTGGGTGTCGAGTTCTCAGAGTTATTATAGCATATTGCGATCAGATTTATTGACACTGAAACCTGTTGTGATCCACAGACGTAGGTACCACCCAAACCCCATTTTTGCCGCGAAGCAGCTGTGACACACAATAAAATCGGGACTTCGACCTCACACAGGATATATATTGTCAGGCTTAGGGGCTGTGAAAACCATCAAAAATCGGGACTTCGACCTCACACAGGATATATATTGTCAGGCTTAGGGGCTGTGAAAACCATCACCCCTTGAATTAAACCACTTTAAGAGTTACGGGTGAAAATAATAGTCAATTGAATTTTTCTATTTAGGTATCAACCATTTTTTCCAATGTATCAGAGAAAACATTAACATTATAATTGAGTCGACTAGTATCAAAGCCGGCAATGTGACTTTTGGACAATTATTGGTAAATCAGAAAAACGAATTATTGACTTTGTATTCCATTGGCAGCCACAAAACTCTTCTGAACGACATCTTAGATAAATAACAGGTTAAGTATTAACCTTTATTTAATGCAGGTTTTGAACCGTATTCTTTGAAGGAGACGATTATATTCAAATCAATCTGTATTGACATATCAATAACATTTTTTTTTCAAATGCACAGATTGCCACCTTTGATAATAGACGACTCAATTCACACATTACGGATAGTATCATCAATTCATCAATATTTTGAATTTATAATTATATATATTTTGAATATTTTTTATATATTTATATAGGTATACAGTAGTAGAATGGAATTTTTAGGTTATACCGGTAAAATGGGGCGATTANATGAGTCGACTATTATCAAAGCCGGCAATGTGACTTTTGGACAATTATTGGTAAATCAGAAAAACGAATTATTGACTTTGTATTCCATTGGCAGCCACAAAACTCTTCTGAACGACATCTTAGATAAATAACAGGTTAAGTATTAACCTTTATTTAATGCAGGTTTTGAACCGTATTCTTTGAAGGAGACGATTATATTCAAATCAATCTGTATTGACATATCAATAAAATTTTTTGTTCAAATGCACAGATTGCCACCTTTGATAATAGACGACTCAATTCACACATTACGGATAGTATCATCAATTCATCAATATTTTGAATTTATAATTATATATATTTTGAATATTTTTTATATATTTATATAGGTATACAGTAGTAGAATGGAATTTTTAGGTTATACCGGTAAAATGGGGCGATTAGGGATTGAGAGGCGAATCGGGAAAAAACCGGGAAAATCTTTCGACGCTCAATATAAGTTTTATATTCGTTGCAAAATCTTCCATTTTTTGTAGTTTAATAGTAGAATGTTGAAAGTTCACAAAACAACTCTGAATATGCATGATAATAGCTGCTAACTTATAAAAAATCGCGTTTCAAATTAACTTCCTGTGGTGGTAATTATTTTAGTGCTAGAAACTTTGCTCTCTTTTATTTATTTGATAATAATAGAAGACGACTATGATTTATAAACGTTATTTAGTGTTTGAACCAGCATATATATTAAAGGTAAGTCTCAGTTGTTATTGGTTTTAATGTATTTGATTAAATAAAAATACATGTAAAAATCTGTTGTTTTTGGGGATATTGGGGACGTCTTAGGTACAAATAACAACGAAAAAGGGGTCAATTGGGATGAGAATACGTGAAATGGAAACGACCTAAGTATAAATAGGTACAGGTTTGTAGGGTTGTCTATGTAGTTATAACAATATTTTTTAAATTTGTTGGTAAAAATCTGGTTTATTCGAAGCGAAATTGGGAATAAGTCTTTAGTTGAAATAGATAAGCAATTTAATATAAGTAAGTCGATTTTGCAGAGACATGTAACAAGATCAATGAAATCTCAAGGTGGACAAAAATGTCTAAGTAATACATAATAAAATATTTAATATTTGTTCAGAGTGGGGGTATTCATCTGATTAATCCATGGAATAACCGACACACCTAATCTCTTAACCCAGATAGAAATATCAGCACTGTCGATTGCACCTATAATTGAGGTGATGTCTGCCATGTACTTTTGTCAGTTTTTCAATTTTTTTTATTGATGATCACTTTGTTGGTGCAACTAAATAAATAAATAAATTAAAACTATATATAAAAATAAAAGTAGTGCCAACCCTAGCAAATTTCTCATTTCGTCCCAATTAACCGCAATTTTCGGGTAAATAGGGATTACACCTATTTTTGCATTTTTTGCTTAAACTGGAATGCTAGTTGCATAATTTTAAATTAGACAACAAAGATGCCCCCAAGACTCAATCATTTTGATCCTGATATAGCATTATATACATCAACAACTACCTTAAAATTGCTCATAAAGTTGGAATTTGTCCCTAATCGCCCCATTTTACGGTACGTCATTTCAATTTTGGCGCCAACCACTAATGCCTTTTTCGTTTGGAGCCCTGGGGCTAAGATTCGCGGTCGTGGGCCGCAATATTAATATAGTCTTGACGTAAATTTTGTGAATGATTTTTATTTGTAATTTTTTTTTAAATATTTCATTAATGCATTTAAATTTTTGGCAACTATGCTATTGTCTAATTATCAAACACCACTACTTTGTTACTGCAGACTTAGATTATTATATAGAGTATTACCGGCTATAATTCTGCCTTTGGCTCCGGCCGTGGCCGATTTCGGTGGTGCTCCGCTGCCTGTCGCGGGAGATGGAGCCGCTTTCGCCGTGCCACCACCAGCCTTCGCTGGAGCGCCGCAAGGGGACTTTTTACCCGCTTCGCCGGGGCATTTCGCGTCTTTCCCTTGCGACGATGTCATTGAAAACTGCTTAAGAAAAATATACATGCACGGTATGTTTTTATTTTCTATACGAGGGACATGTTAAAGCCTTCCTGCTGAACCTGGTACCATAATCACCTTCCCTGGGGTGAAGCAGACGTATGACATGATTTTCTATCGCCCTTATAGGCAGATGAGGATACAACCCACCTAGTAGTGGTTCGGTTACCGTCGCTTATAGACGTGAGCAATGTCAGGGGTATAGCCAAGCCGCCGGAGTGCTTTCCACAAGCCTCGTTTAAAGAAGAACATGTCATAACGCTCATGGAACATCGCGGAGGAGCATTGATTCCAGAGCCGGATGGTACGTGGCAAAAATATCTCTGGAAACGCACTGTAAACTTCGACTTCAAGCCTCACGCCTCATTGGTTCAATGGCGAATGACCCAAAGGACTCGGGATCTGCATAGGTTTAATGTGGAACAAATATTCAGGTGACATCTCCTTTTCATGTTAAGCGGACCGTGACCTCGTCGCGGCCTCGGGGGTAACGAAAAGCTCACTAACAGCTGCCAGAGCGGTCCCGACGTCACTACGAAGACCTTGAAGCTTTTTTATTGCATCGATGATCGATTTCCTTAGAACCCGTCTTGCTAACATGGCAGATATCTGTCAATAAAACTAAATGTAAAGTGTCGTCATGGCCTAAAGGATAAGACGTCCGGTGCATTCGTATTGAGCGATGCATCGGTGTTTGAATCCCGCCCCGTGGTAGGACCTCTTGTGAGTCCGCGCGGGAAAGTACCACCACCCTGCCTATTTCTGCCGTAAAGCAATAATGCGTTTCGGTTTGAAGAGTGAGGCAGCCATTGTAACTATACTTGAGACCTTAGAACTTATATCTCAAGGTGGATGGCGCTTTTACGTTGTAGAAGTCTATGGGTTCCAGTAACCACTTAACACCAGGTAAACTGTGAGCTCGTCTTCCCATCTAAGCAATAAAAAAAAAATCTAATTAATATTACCAGAAATTTCACTGCAATTACCAACTTTATTCGCATTTATTCACACTTTACGGGTCTCTTACGGGACTGTTTATTTGTTATTTAATCATTACATACTTATTACAAACACAAAAAAGATATACTTATAGTAACTCCGTTCTAATCCATAAGCCACCACTTTTTAATTTATGTAATGGCGTTTATAGACTTCGAAAAACACTGAATACAATGATATATAATACAAAACAAAAACAACCTTACGGATAATACCAATACGCTTGTTTCAATTTGCAAAAAATCTAATACAATTAAGTATTAGAGCAAACGGAAATGTCGAATATATGTCAATAGTCACCTTTGTTTTTCATCAAAGGTTTTATATTTTTCTGGCAAGCAAAGAGTATGTAATGTAATTTTCGGAATTACTATAGACGTAGCAAAATAATTAAAAGCAGAAGAAAATAGGTTTAACTGTGAAAACTGAGTGGAAGAAGTTCACGCTTAATGATTTAGGAGTATCGATCGATGCCTTTTTTTCATACAGGTAATTATTACGTATGAAAATTAATAAAGCAAAATTTAGGAAGGTATTTAGAGTTTTTTTGAAATATTAATGAATAAACTGTGAAATAACAGCGCGGTGAATGATTTTTGGGTATTATTTTTAAACATTTAAAAATTAAATATCATTTTTGTATTATTTTGTTCCATACAAGCTTTAAGCAAATGTATAAAGTTTTTTTCAAAGCACGTTTCGAGTAACGAAGCTGTTACTCTGAGACTGAATGTTGAATAACATTGATAATTTGCTAATTTGAAAATTCACCCACCTACTCGCTCAAGGGGCTATTCCAGTTACACGAGGTTTGGTGGGTCAGCAAAGCCATGCCGGTGTCGGCTATGATGCAATGCCATGTTTCTGCCTCAAAGGGCGCAGCCGTGATACAATAATACTGGAAGTACAAAGTGGCAGGAGTTAAAGTAGCAGCCTCAAGGTGACATTCAAGTTGTGACGTCAAAACAAAGCGAAAACCAATAATCTGTTTACATCTTATTCACCCGAGTGCGGGTAGCTGGTTCTCTGAGTATTCACCAGCGTACTGCGACGACAACTAGTAATTATTGCTGGGAAGACATCTTGTACGCACGCGTCATTGGGTACCAACACATATAAATACATACTACCATAAATACTTTATTATATACGTTGTATATAGCTGTTTTGCTCATAACTTAAAATATGATAGATTGAATAGCAGCACTAGATTTACTGGTATACGAAATTATAGACATATATAAATACAAATATATACACATAAATAAAAACCTTAAAACTACTTTAATATGCCATGCCCCTAACGCCATCTGTAAATTATAGGTTTAGGCGCATTGTTAATATAAACGCCTGAACGATGATTGGCTGAAAAAACAGTTTAATCGATATGATTGGAAGCTGTACTAAGATTTTTAACATAGGCCTATCATTGAACGTAGCCGTCAAATCTTTGAAGAGGTTTCTATTCTGGTCTATGGAAACGAAAACAGACTGCACGATTTCAAATTTAGGATGATAATTTTGACAGCTCCGAGTGAGGATGTGCTGGTGTATATTCGTCAATGAACTTATTCGATCATCGATATTTTTCACACGGAGCTTGCAATCGATTACTTTTCTTCATAATCGTTACATAATTGTTGAGGAACGTGGCTCTTCTGTAATGTTCTCACTGCTTCTTTCTACGTATACATATATTTTACTGGTTATCGATATCGATGGATATTGCTAGTTGCCTGGTTACGTAAGCTGAAAGGTCAGAACATAATGCGAAACAAATATTGCTATTAAATTAATAATTTACTAATTTATGCAGGAAAGCTCTTCAATAAAAACGATTACGACTCATTCGTATATTTNTGGCTCTTCTGTAATGTTCTCACTGCTTCTTTCTACGTATACATATATTTTACTGGTTATCGATATCGATGGATATTGCTAGTTGCCTGGTTACGTAAGCTGAAAGGTCAGAACATAATGCGAAACAAATATTGCTATTAAATTAATAATTTACTAATTTATGCAGGAAAGCTCTTCAATAAAAACGATTACGACTCATTCGTATATTTGTTTTATCAGTCAGCCTAGTCAGTATTCATACCGCGAGTTTTGAAATGATGCAGCATGATGAGTGATGACACATAGCAGGGTAATCCTTCATGGAAATATTCAAGCAGGAGTGATTCAATGCGGTATCCAACGGGAACTGTGCAAAAAGGATTGTCCTTTTGGAGGTATACGACAAAGGAGAGATCTTCCCTTGGGCGGGTGATATTGCTTGTTAGGTCAACGGTCCGAATGTTGTTGTTCGGTAATTATTTTGTATGCAAGCTTATCTTGAAAATGCTGTAAGCGAGATTCAGGCATTTGTCTAATATCTTGAGCTGTATGATGGCTATTCAGTCCTTTATTTTATCGGAGCATCCCACACATTCCACGTGGGTAGCCAATATGACGCTGAAAGGAAATAAATATATTTTATATAAACAAAAATATATATTGCCCTAAGTACTAACATTGGTAATACAAAAAATAATACAACGCTACACGACTGGCAATAATGAAAGTCATTATGTAGTTAAAAAATAATTAAATCATTCATTAGCTAAAAAAGTAATAGTTCTTTTTCTACAAGTTTAGTAATTGCGCGATAGATGATCCCAAATAACCTTTTTTTTTTTTTAAATAATACAGTTTTAAACTACAGTTAAACTACAATTTTATTTGTTTTATTTTTTAATTTCAAAACCCATATTTATAGTGTGTGGTTTTTATTATCCATGGTACTTCATTAAGTGAGAGTACCTGTAATTAAATGCAGTCTAACAATAAATGAGAAAAAATGTGAAACTTTATGTATATATACATACGAGTGGTCAAAATGATCATGCTAACTGTGACAAAGTATAAAAACGAGAACATTCCAGCCGGTTTTTTTATTTTTTCATCTGGCAAGAAACTTCAAAGCAACCCAAAAAAATTCAGAATCGTTCTTTGTGAAGTTGCGTCACCCACATGTCCTGTTAAATGTGATTAAAAGCCTGAAAATAAAGTAATATAGTATTTTAATACGTGATAAAAATGTTGAACGCGACGCGGGCATTCGGCCGAAAGGCTTTAGAGTGCACCGGATTAAGTTCAGACTTGTATACGCAGAGAAATTTTTCGTCAATTTTGAAAAGCGTAAGTAACCATTTCATTCATTAAAACGAATGATAGTTGGACTTCAAACTAGTTATAATTGTTGAAATATATCTTTGAATGCTTTTGAACGTTATTACAAGTACTATTTTCTTAATATTCTGTTAAAATACGATCGCTGCGTGGGGTCACATGGGATCGGAAAATCTGACAATCTGTCTTGCTTGAATGATTGATTTTCTCGCATTTTCCAGAACGCAACACCCACAGTTCCTATTTACCAGCGACATGGCGTACAATTTAGAAACAAGTAAGTGTTCTGCATTTTTTCGTATTTACTCAACATTGCATCATAACCTTATTGCTTTAATATCGACCTTTGAGACTCGTAAACCACTAATTAATTCTCGAACATCATAGTTAATAATATTTCCAGGTCTCTCGTCCTTTGTAGCTCATATTGAGTCGATTTTTATGGTTAGGTCTTAGGTTATAATTCTAGATTTTAAAGTAGAACTATGTACTTATCACATTTCCATTAGGTAATGATTGTAGATGAATTGCTACCAAATCAAATATTAGATCTTTCGGCAATACAAGAACAAACAAAATAAATTTCCACTATTGCACAACTACCTCCTTTTAGAACTTATCATAAAACAATCGCAAAAATTGAGTATGTAAAATGTAACCATGTTTATCGCAAAATGTATTAGTCATGGTTACTTTTCAATTCAACCACATAAAGTCGTGTTTTGTTATAAAAACCTCATTTTTCATTACTTTCTTTGAACACATGTCAAATACAACCCAATTTAATGTCTAATAACCCAAAACAAACTGTAATGAAGATTGTGACCCAATATGAATTGTCTCCATGTACTTCTGTCCAACCCCAATTCAATATAGCTCTGTAGAGTTTCTTATGTTGTCTTCATAAATACTTTTACACCATCATATTTGAATTCGGCTCCTGGAGCGCTTCCTTATTTCCAGTTCATACTTTATATGAAAAAAGTTCTGCCAACAAGGTTTCTAGAAGAGATTATTTTACTGTTTAAGAATTTAGAACACTTAGTTGATTATGACCTGTGATATACTTTTTTAGTATACAAACTTGATATACACCAATTTACTATTAAATAATCTGATCCAAGCATTGAGGTTTTGAAAAAAATCATCAGTTTTTAGTAATCTGAAAATATTTTAAATTTACAGTTAAATTAAAAATACAATTAGACTAATAAGAAATAAACATGTTTTATTTGATATAGAAACTATGAGGATTGATCTTGTTTCTATTACATAATAATTTAGCTTTTCATAGATTCCTGATGTGCATACAATGATAAACCATAGAGTAATTTCAAAATATCTTAGTTTCTACAAAAACTAGATTTTGCTTTAAATAGTGTTATGTATCCTAAAGCAAACTAGGTTTACAGTGTTAAGAAATGAACATAGATAACACGCATTTAGATAAGTTAAGATGTTGAGTGTTTTACAATCTATTTAATGTCCATTGCTTCATTTTAGGATTAAATAATAATCTTCATATGAGATATTAAATTTAGGCTATAAGACTTATGTGAATATGGTTGTTAAGAGAAAATACGATAGTATTTACAAACCTATTTCATTGTCTGCTCTCTGGAATGATGCTGAAGAAACTGTATACGTTTGGTCAAGATTAATCATTAAAGTTAAATAAAATTACTTCCTGGGAAATAATGTTGAATGTGTTAAAAAGGGTATGAGTGAGATTTGTATTTTAATTTGGATGGAGGAATATGAAAAAAACTGCTATTACAGCCATTGACATGCTATACTCTATTTATATTCACATTAGGGGCAGACGGGTCTATGTTTGAGAGTTTTTTTCTGATTAGCTTTGATGTGCCTGCCGCCCCCTATTTTTGCAAGACAGTCATGCAATCAAGTTTTAATAGGGGGGTAGCTGTTGTACTTTTTTTATTTGTAAGTCAGTGAGATTGTCTATCGCTCTGAAGCAGGGGTTCCCAAACTTATTTTGTCTAATGCCCACTCTGAGAATAAATACATTTTTAGCGTCCCCATTTTTTTCACCTACTTCAAAACCACTATACCGAGAGCTCAGTCGGTGTCTAAGAGTCCTCACAGATGAAATTACAAATCGCCTCCCAAGCCTCTACAAAACGCCCCCATTTTTTTTTCTGGGTCTCTTACCGCCCCACTTTAGGCCTGCAGCGGCCACAAGGGGGCGTTATCGCGCACTTTGGGAAAGGCTGCTCTAAAGCAATCTGAAAACCTTGTGCAGGTCTGAGGGTGTTCGTGGAGCCGTCATTGGAATCGATCTGGGCACGACAAACTCGTGCGTTGCCGTCATGGAGGGCAAGACACCCAAGGTAAACTACCTACATGTTTCAAATTTAACATCAAATTGTAACTAGTGAAAGTCGAAGGATCGAAATTCGATCATAATTACTGATGCCTCAAGAATTAAATTCGTTTGACGCATTGTCTTTTGAAGTTTTGAATAAACTAATAAACTGTTTTTTAAAAAAGAACTTGGTTGATGAACAGAAGAAAAAATTGTCCTTAACTTGGTCTGTTCATCCAAAGACTGAATTTCAAACTTTAACACACTTGCCTAATGACATATGTCCTTTATTAAAAAAAAAGCGATATCTTCGACAATTTAGTAATTTTGTCTTGAGCCCACTGTCCACTGCAGCAATATCATAAAAATTAAATTAAAACTCAAATTCTTTATTGTTTGTCACAAAATCACAAAAACACCTGCATTACCAATTAATTTAATATACTTATGAAACCATGTTAAAATTATAGGTGGTGGAAAACAGTGAAGGCTCTCGGACGACTCCCTCCCATGTGGCCTTCTCGAAAGAGGGCGAGCGTCTGGTCGGAATGCCCGCCAAACGGCAAGCGGTCACGAATAGCGGTAACACGTTTTACGCGACGAAGAGATTGATCGGACGTCGATTCGACGATCCCGAAGTGCAAAAGGACATGAAGAATTTGTCATACAAAGTAGTCAGGGCTTCGAATGGCGACGCCTGGGTGCAAGGTGCGTAGCTTTTAAACACAGTCTAAGTAAACTAATTGACCGAATACGATTTTGAAGATAGCTCTCTAAATTATTAATATACAAATTTTCCCCAGTCACCTCCTAATAAGGTAGTTAATCCTTTGTACTCGAGAGGTAACTCTTTCACCCAACAGAGTTATATCATCTCCTCTCAAGTGCAACTTCTCCAAAAAATAAGACTAGAGAATGAATATAGTGCCATTGGGTTTGAGTTCAGTTGCAGAATAATAAAAAAAATGTATATATTTGATCACAGTAAGTAGTGGTTAATACAAAATGCTGATAGTCAAATGCCCACTATTCCACTGTTACAAATCGACTCCCTTATATATATTTCAATTAAAGTGGAAATGTAATTACTATTTGTTGTTACATGACTGAGGTTGTATGACTGACATGGCTATTCTGGTGATGTTTCTTTATAGTAGTGTATGTAGTAACAAGTGTATGTAGATAGGTTTCTTACCCATGTCGTCATAATAATTAGAATTTAAAAACCAAAAAATTGTTACAGAAATTTGCTTTTTTACATTTTGTATTTGTGCATCGCCGATCAGTGTCTTGGTTGAGTATCGAGTACACTTTTGCAGCGATGCTAGAGCGACTCGAGGTCACCAGCTAGCCGGGGCACTCATGCCTTAGGCTTTCCTAGATACCTCGATACATTTATTAATACATAAACAAAGTATTACCATTCAAATAAACAATTCACAAAGTTTGTAAATATTTAGGTTAATGTTACAATTAGATGTCAAACTATAAAACGTTTCTTAGAATATGCACATAATATTGTCTTCTGTTTATTTTTTTATTTTACAATAAAAAAAACAATCATTGACTGCATTAAATAATAAAGCAGAAAATTTTTTAAATTGCTACTTAAGTTTAAAAAAGTTTAGGGAATATAAGACTGCCATAAATAAAAATTTAAGTGTATTTGTAATGTAAAAAGTATCATTAGTTTGTCAAATAGATATGAACTTTGAAATGCATCTAGAAAACAAAGAAATAAAACTGCAAATCTCCCAAACTACTCTTTCAATTGGTAAATAGCTGATCTTGAAAAGCACATGGCCAACTTTCATTTTAAATAAAGATGTTGTACAGATAAAATTAAATATAACCCATAAAATTGTGATCAATATCTCATTTCTTTCGGAAAGTTATTAGTAATGGACAAAACATGAGATAACAATTATAAAATAGCATTTAATTGAGAATTGACATGTATTTTCTGAATAATTAAAGGTTTTCTCCTCATGTAACATACATTATATGGTTTTCTAATTCCTCCATCTTGCGTCGTATTCCTCATTACTGAGGGTCGTGACCACCCTTTTGGATCACCTTCGCACGCACGATCTTACTTCGTCCGTTCTTGTCTCTGGCGGTGTGGAGGGCGTTGTGAAACGTGGAATCAAGAGCGGTGCGGATCTGGTCGGACCAACGTATTGGGTTGCACCCCTGAGGTCTTTTCCCATCTACCTTACCAGTCACGATGAGCCCCTCGAGATTGCTAATTATTATAGTACTTATTTTTAAGGTTCTTGCAAATGTTGATTACATGTTGAAAACAGTTGCCTATATCTATTATTTCAATAATTGTAGGTACTGATGGCAAAGTATACTCTCCGAGCCAGATTGGTGCATTTGTGTTGATAAAGATGAAGGAAACTGCTGAAGCATACTTGAACACAAGTGTGAAAAATGCAGTCATAACAGTGCCAGCTTACTTCAATGATTCCCAGCGTCAGGCCACAAAAGATGCAGGTTTGTTTCGAGTCCGTGTTTTGAGTCCCAGTAAACACAGTCACTTTTTGTTTGTGGAGCCAAAAAAAAAACCACCAAGTACACTATGAAAAATATGTATGTATTAAATGTCAATGTGTATTTTTTACATGAGTTGGACAGGAGTATTTCCAAGAAATCTCAATTAATAAAATAGTTTACTTAATAGAGAGTAATAAATATCTTCATATATCACTTGTAGACTTACATACTGATAAGAAGTAGTCTTATTTACACAGCTCAGCAAGGGTAAAGGAGTTTCCTTTAGGTTTTAAAAGCTTAAAAGAATGGAACCTGGAAATTACTCACACTTGTTATTGTTAATATGGGGATGAGCTTGTGACCCATGTGGTGCTAAGTGGTCACTGGAGCCCATGGATAACAACCACGTTAATGCTGCCACCCACCTTTATACATCGCACCACCCGCCACTGGAGAAGAGTTCATTCATCCTACCTGGAACCACTGCGTTCATCTGCAGTGCGTTTCCAGAGTTATTTTTTACCACATACCATCCGGATTTGGAATGAGATCCCCTCCATGGTGTTTTCCGAGCGCTTTGACATGTCCTTTTTTAAATGAGGCTTGTGGAGAGTACTTAACAGCAGACAGCGGCTTGGCGCTGCCCCTGACATTGCTGAAGTCCATGGGCGATGGTAACCACTCACCATCAGGTAGGCCGTATGCTCGTCCGCCTACAAGGACAATAAAAAAATACATGTTTGACAGATTTTATACATAGTATGCATGGTTTGAACTCTTCAACATTCTCCTTAACCATTTAAAAATGGACAGCCTGTGAACTTTTTCATCCAACCGTTATCAACATATCTTCCTATGAGGGTTTTTGTGTGGAGAATTTAAGCCTAAGTTTTAAAATACTATTATTGTTAATTGAGTACTGCATGTTTTAACGGGGTTTTTGAACAATGTGTTATTCAGGTCAAATCTCTGGTTTAAATGTGCTACGAGTTATCAATGAGCCGACTGCTGCTGCCCTCGCTTACGGTATGGACAAGACCGACGACAAAATGTAAGTATTTCTTTAAAAGCATGTTATAATATAGGAAATATTAATCTAGTTTAAGAAATCAGTCATAGGTCATTATTATAAAAATGTATACATATTTACTTCTTTGTATGTGTTGCACAGAATAGCGGTGTATGACCTCGGAGGTGGAACCTTCGATATCTCGGTGCTGGAGATCCAGAAGGGAGTGTTCGAAGTGAAGTCTACCAATGGAGACACTCTGCTGGGAGGTGAAGACTTTGACAATGTTATTGTGAATTTCCTAGTGGATGAGTTTAAACGTGATGTGAGTATATTTGTGTTGACTGGGCATTTTCATTTAAACAAAACTACAAGCATTTATCAACTATCTTAAAAATTGTCAGGGTATATGGCATACAACTCAAGGCTTTACTTGCAACTTCAAAAATTATACAGTGAATGGAGGATCATACACTGAGAAATGTATGGTACAGATTTCTCACCAGCACATAAATATGTGTGTATGCCCATACTAGATGTGGTGCACCACCACTGCCTAGGTATTTATTACCTTGTAAAAGAGGAATTACATTCAAATGAATTGTCTATAAAATTAACAACTTGAAGCTATAACAAAAACCTAAAATGAACCTTACCTTTTATGGTTGTTGCAATGTTGTAAGAATCTGCTAAATTAGTCTGTGTGCTTGCTTATCGGTTATGACAATTCTCGATGTAAAGTGTTCTTCAAGAAAGAGATGCCTTGACATCCTCACAACACCAATTTGCTTAATCGGGTCAGCTGAGGAATGGCTTTCTTTAGCACCAGTGGTAGATATTCAACAGGTGACATGATAACTACTTCAAAATATACGACTGAACACAAAAGAAATGGAAATATGCACACACACAGCTGTAAGGACAGCCTGTATGATTATAAGATCTTTTTCACAATTTGGTTGACTTACAGTTTTGCAGTAATTGATATAGTTTAATTTTAAAAGAGCTCTCGTATAGAAAAGGTCATAATAACTCTAGTAATCCTAGTTGGGCTATGAGACCAAAATAATAAAACTGTATTATCATCAGTCATTTGATAAATTTTTTAATTAATCAGAAGTCTTAAAGCCATTACATACATATACAGGACGATGCATGTAAGCGCATCAATGAAACATACAGTTGTATCACTGTACACCTATTGTTCTTGTACAAATTTCTTTTCTCACTTTTTACAATTGAAACATTTTCGTACGAACTTTTATTGTAATGTATTTGTGCATCGCCGATCAGTGTCTTGGTTGAGTATCGAGTACACTTTTGCAGTGATGCTAGAGCGACTCGAGGTCACCAGCTAGCCCGGGCACACATGCCCTAGGCTTTCCTAGATACCTCGATACATTTATTTCATTTAAAAGGCTTAAAATTATTGAGACAAGAATTAAGTAGAACATTTCTTTGCTTCTTCTTTCAAAAAAATAAAGGCAGTAGTGCAGCAGGGTTGAGCAACCCAACTGTGCCCATATTCGAATCTCCTCTATCAATATTTTTAAATAAATACATACTTGACAGCGACACGTTCTTGAATGTTTTCTACAGTTATAGTGTATAAATATCAAACATGCAAAATTTCTAAATTATTTTGTAAGTGTGATTATTTTGTCTTATTACTACTATTACAACAGATCTTAACTTCCCAGGCTTGATGATTGGGCTAGCCGTTGGCAAATATTAAGTTTTCAACTTTTACTCCTTAATATCAAGAGGAGCGTCACAAAAAGAGAGACTTGAGATCATAATAATAAAATGGTTTGACGTTGACCTGGCTCAGTGCCTACAAAGTTACAGCTTACCATTTCATTAAAATATCTGTTCTTTTGTCAACAGCAAGGCATTGACATCCGTAAAGACGCTATGGCTATGCAAAGGCTGAAGGAAGCTGCTGAAAAAGCCAAAATTGAATTATCAGGGTCGGTGCAGACTGACATCAACTTGCCTTACCTGACTATGGATGCATCGGGACCCAAACACATGAACTTGAAGGTTAATATCAACTTTATTATACTTAAATAATTAATGTTGTAAGTTATTTTTATTTTATTTTGACATTAATGGCTAGATACGACAAATGTAAATAAATTTTAAATGCTTGTTTTAATGTACATCAATCATGGAGCAGCCGTTGTGCTGTCAAAACTTAGATCTTACAACTTATGTCTGTCTGCAGGTTGTATCATAAATTTAATCGTTGTCTGTGGGCTCCAGTAACCACTTAACACTAGGTGGGCTGTGAGCCCTTCCACCCATTTAAGCTTTAAAAAATATTCGTAGTCACCATTTGAAGTCTTGAGTGTGGTTTTTGTCTCATAAGTGCATCTAGAAGCAATAACACGGGAGATGTTTTATCAGTCTAATTTCAGCAGTTCATAAGACAGCTTAATACTTAAATGGTATCTGTAGCACTATATACCTATTCTGCGACATGTAAAACATAGTGTCCCGCAGAAAGCCTCAGTGCTTATATTGAGTACAGAATCAGCAAATACTCGCTATTGTTAATTTAAAGAGTGGGTTAAACTGTTCTGTGACATTTTAATTTTTTTATAAAATAAGTTGTGTAATTTTTGTTTGGAGTAAATAGAAAAAATCTGGCCACGAACTACGATTCCTTGTATTTATGGGAATTTACATGCTATGATTGTCCACAGCGAAACAGTCAGGAATTTTGGCTTAAAGTGTGGTACAGTATTGTCCGCGCGCGAGCTCCGAGGATTTTTAACGAATGTTGACGTAATGAGCTAGTTTTGTAATTAGTCGAACTATCGATATTAACACATCTTAAGCCTCTGTGCGAGTGTAAATTATAAAATAGTTTTATGAGGGTGTTATGTACTTGAAAATGGGGGCGGCCCTATCATATGGTGCGCAATAAAATGCGCCCATGGGCCCCCCCGATCACGGAGCGTCTCCAGCCTCAGCAGCTGCGGGACATCGTCTCGGCGCTGTTCCCGCAGGAGCGGGAGGGATTTGTCGCGCCCGCTATGGACTCGCCGCCGGAATACGACGGCGAAGTCCCTGCCGAGGTGCCCCATATAACGGGGGCGGAGNGTGATGGGAGAGATGTGCTCCGCACTAAACGCTTCACTTTCCCCCCTTTGCCTTTTCATGAGTTTTGTCTCATGCGAGGTTTGGACGTTGGTTGTTGAGAGACAGGAGGTTTTAGTCGGTTCGACTCCGACATGCCCCGCCCTTCATCCCCAGTGAAGGGCGGAAGTCCGGCGATTTCCTCCTGACAAAAAAAAAAAAAAATGTACTTGAAAAAAAAAACAATTGATCACGTATGAATTTCATTTAATGAACTGATTTTTATTAAACAAAATTAACGTGAAATCTTATTAATTACTATCGCAATCAGATTAATCAGTAGTTGAAGAATTTGATGTACTCCTCTTGATGTCACTCTCCTCACATACTTCAATAATAAATGATTCGACAACTTCCTCCATTAAGCCATCCTTTTGCCAGTAATATTCCTCTAATGCTTAGACATGTTTATTATGCTAGTGCTCGCCATTCCTTTTTCATCAAATTAAATAGCTATTTGTGCAAACAAAAAGACTTATAAGTGTAAGACTATTTATATTAGAAAACACACGTAATTAACACTGCTATCGCAAAATTAAAAACGAGTCAGTAAGCGTGCTCTCACGTTAAGGTCAACACTAAAACTGGGAGAGAGCGGAGTATGAAGCGAGGGTCGGGCGCGGTGCACGCCCGCCTGCCTCCTCAGCCCCCGAATCCTCGAAGCTCGCGCGCGGAGTATACTTACGCAATACAACTGAGAATTCGACCTCATGTCTCAAGGTAGTTGTGACATTCACCCTGATGTCTAAGGGCTCTGGTGACACTCAACACTGGCTGTAAACTCACTCAACCATCACTATGAGAAAAAAGCTTATTGTTTTTTTTTATCATGTTAATAATTACTAACGCCTTAATTAACTTTTCGTTTTTTCGAATCAAGTGAAATGCATCATGTATATTGAATGTCACATTACACACGCGGATCATTAGCTAGAATTTTCCAATACCAAGGCATTCTTAATCATACAGACTCAACTTAATTTCTATAGCTAACAAACATTATATGTAGTTCTGAAAATAATTGCATACCAACAGATGACACGCTCGAAACTAGAATCTCTAGTTGGGGATCTGATCAGGCGGACGGTGGCGCCGTGCCAGAAGGCCCTTCAGGATGCCGAAGTGCAGCGATCGGACATCGGTGAAGTTCTGCTCGTTGGTGGAATGACGAGAATGCCTAAGGTAAATAATTTTGTACATTTAGACTGACATCAAAAACAAAGGCCTTAATGTAAGTGATGTCAATTACAAGGTATCTGCCCTGGCCCGTTTTTACTAAAAGGTGCTTTTAATCTGGCCTGCAACGTTTTAAAGTAAGCTTACAAGAAAATAAAAAGTTTGATTAAAATATTGCTTTATATTATAAATTACAATTTAAATAAATATGTGGTGTGTAGAACTTGGTTCGCTATCACCATTCTATTAATTACATTTATTGTATTATATCAGCGATTACAAACCTGTACCATGCACACGCATGGGGGTAGGTAAAAAAGATGTTGATAATTGCAGAAGTACTGAATACTATAATACTTAATGTTATAATATTATATAAACTTATAATTAAACATAATTATAATGTCTTATGTCTGCAATATTTAGTTTAAAATAAGGTGTTAAATTGCAAACGTTGAGTTTGTAAATGGTACATTTATTTGTATACCTCCAGTGTCTGTTAAGAGAAAGACTCATTGTCATGAGTCTATGAGATTATCAGGGGAAGGGTAACTGATAAAAATGAAAATGGTTAGTAAGAGTATGGGAATGCAAAAAGATTGAGAAGCACTGGAGTATATGAAAAGGCATCAAACAGCACAAGTCGACGTCGAACATTCAATGTTTGGCTCGACTGCCCCGTGGAGGCTGGTGCCAGAACATCATGCAGTTATATTCCCCGCTTGGACTAGTCTGGTGCTTTCGGGTTATAAACTAGCACACATTAAAGGCAGGCAGTGATATGCTTGTGACTGCATTGCTGTTTTCCACAAACATATACTCAAAATTAACAGATTGCTCTTGCTCTGCTTCGAGATTCGTTGAAATACAATCTGTATATTAAAATCTATCTTATGGGGTGAACCAAAATATAGTGTAGTATAGTAATGTCGAACATCATTTTTATAAATTTCCAGGTCCAACAAACAGTACAGGAAATATTCGGCAGGGCTCCGTCTCGAGCCGTGAACCCCGACGAGGCCGTGGCGGTGGGAGCCGCCGTCCAGGGCGGAGTCCTAGCGGGTGACGTCACTGACATCCTTCTCCTCGACGTGACTCCGCTGTCACTGGGCATCGAAACCCTCGGAGGCGTCTTCACCAAGCTGATCACAAGGAACACCACCATACCCACTAAGAAGAGCCAAGTGTTCTCTACCGGTAAAGGCTCATTTGATTCAATAGCAACATTCTCGATTGAACAGAAAACTAATTCAGTGTTTAAAAAAGCCATGTTTTTCATTAAAATATTTCAAATAAACATTTAGTAGCATATGAAGTTTGAGGTGGTATATAATCACAAAAACAAATCACAATGATTATTTGTTCCAGTTTAATTGCTTTTCGATATATTATATTACTGTGAGATTTCGTCTGATGGACTGCTATTAAACTAAGTTATGAAAAACAAAATTCCTTAAGGGCGAGTCGCGTGACTATATTATATATTATTTTATTTGCATCGAAATTTATCTAGCAGCTTGTTGCAATCGACAAGTTGTATATGACGATGCCACAGTGAGTCGAGTATCGCGCGAACCGAAGCGTTTTTGCGCATAAGGATGATCGTTATTCGTACATTTCTACAACCTGCTGTAACAGGGTACACGGCCACCAGTATAGTGTAACAGTGGGGTTAGGGGACTGTTGTTTGTTCTGTTTTAAAGAGTCAAGCAGTAGGTATAATACAATTGAGCCTTTGATCTCATCTTCTTTATGTAGGTGTTGGTATTTTGGCGCTTGACATCAGGGGCTAGTGCAACAAAAGGATATGAGATCAATAATCTATATATCAACACTTGAAAGGCAAACGTGACTAAGCGACAATGCGTGAACTTTACAGTAGACTAATTTAAACTTGAAATACCTGAAAAAAATTCTATTTTAACGAATCTAGCTGTAGGATTGAAATGATTTTAATAGATCTAGAAATATATTTTTTTTGCACATCGAATATTGTTATTGCCTATTATTTATGTACAAAGCAGTTATTGTCGCTTAGTCACGTTTGCCTTTCAGGCGTCGATATATAAAAATGAATTGTTGTTCGTTAATCTCACTAAAACTCGAGAATGGCTGGACCAATTTGGCTAATTTTGGTCTTGAATTATTTGTGGAAGTCCAGACAAGGCTTAAAAGGTAGAGAAAATATGAAAAAACTTGGAATTAAATAAAAATGACAGTTGTGTTTTTACTTTGATGTGTCGCCCGTAGGACGGATCCTTTTTTTGTTTGTTTATTTTATACAAAAGTTTAAGTCTTTTGTTTATCGATTGTCGCACTACGAAGTCTGCCGGGTCAACTAGTATTGGATAATTGCTTAGTTTCTTAAAGTAAATATGCCAATCTGAATGTGACGCCTCGTCCCCAGCGGCCGACGGGCAGACGCAAGTGGAGATCAAGGTCCACCAGGGCGAGCGCGAGATGGCCTCGGACAACAAGCTGCTGGGGCAGTTCTCGCTGGTGGGCATCCCGCCCGCGCCGCGCGGCGTGCCGCAGATAGAGGTCGCCTTCGACATCGACGCCAACGGCATCGTGCACGTGTCCGCGCGGGACAAGGGCACCGGCAAGGAGCAGCAGAGTTAGTAATCAGATCCAATAATCTATGCATTAGACGTCTTCAGCTCTAACACTAGGAGCAGGCTTAGGGACCCCGGTAACCGTAGTCGTCGAACTCGACAAAGAGGTCGACGTACAACCTAACCCATGCATCAGCCCGCTGAGTTTCGCCGGATCTTCTCAGTGGTTCGCGATTCCGATCCGATAGTAGATTCATTCGTGAAGCAGCAGCTCTTGTGTTGTTAGGTCTCGTTCGAAGATGCTCGGGTAGCTGTTAGCAAATCCTACCCCTCCCGGCTTAGCCTTTGCTCGCCCACCTGTCCTAATGAAACTGGAAAGGCCTCCGAGCCACCAGTAATCTTTCAATCATAAAAAGTTGTAATATGAGTCCACTCGTAGGTAGGCCATCTTGTGAGCCCGCGCGTACCGACCTGCCTATATCTGCCGCGCAGTTATGTGTTTCGACTTGGGCACCCACTGTGCTATAAAACTGTGACTTAGAATTCATGTCTCAAGGTCGGTGAACGACGTTTGCGTTATAGATTTGCATATAAAACCCAAGCGACTGTGACTGCTGCGCATGTAAGCAATAAAAAAAAACAAATCAGGTGGTGGGAGTGACTAATAAATATATTTAAAAGTTGTCGTGACTTAAAGGATCAGTTCTAATTAATTACGTACTTAAAAATTGTTCACGAATAACTTTTACACTGAGGGACAAATATTGCTTGATAGATAATGTTTAAAACAGCTAATTTGTAAATGTGTGCAATTGCTGATTGTAGGGTGTTGTGGGCGTACATCTGAATTTACCATCATTAGAGTACTGCTACACAAATCAATAGAGAATTCAGTTGCGTGCCTCGTAGTGGGGGAGGCATCGGCGTTATGATGTCTATACTATGGACAATAACTCATGTAATGGTTGATGACGTCACCGCCACTAGTACCACTCGGGTCGTCGACCTTACGCCCCAGCTGATCCTCGGTTCTCGTTGCACAGTCGTGATCCAGTCGTCGGGAGGGCTGTCGAAGGACGAGATCGAGAACATGGTGAAGGCCGCCGAGCAGTTCGCCGCCGCCGACAAGACGCGGCGCGAGCGGGTGGAGGTGGCCAACCAGGCCGAGGCCGTGCTGCACGACACCGACACCAAGATGGACGAGTACAAGGCGCAGCTGCCGCAGGACGAGGTCGGTAGCGCTGCGGAGTCTTGACGACCTCCAACCTATATCTATACTATAATATTATAAAGCTGAAGAGTTTGTTTGATTGAACATGCTAATCTCAGGAACTACTGTTCCTAAAGCTAGTATTAGATAAATCTATACTAATATATAAATAAATCTACAGTAGTTTTTACGTATGATCCGTTATAACTACTGAACCATGCATCCGATTGACTTGAAACTTGGTATCCATGTAGAAAATACAATGACATGTACTTAATGGATAGGCTAATATTTATATGAGTGTTAGACTCCCTAATAATAATGACAATAAATAATAATGTTGGCCTCTTTTCACGCCAGGAAAATATTGTTCTGACAAGGGGAATAATGTATTGATATGTATTTGAATTTTGAAATGCCATTTATGTTGCAGTGTGACAAACTACGTGAGGAGATGAACAAACTCCGTGAGCTGCTCGCTAAAAAGGACACCATTGAGCCGGAAGAACTTAGAACAGCCACCGGACAGCTGCAGCAGGCCAGCCTTAAACTGTTTGAACAGGCTTACAAGAAGGTAGCGGGCTTTTATTTAAACTTTTCATTTTTATTGTGGATCCTGACGATTCCTAGTTGGTGTGAGGTATGTAACCATGGTGCTACGTATTGGGGTTCAGAATAAATAAATACTATTCACCGAACCTTGGTAGACTTCCCTATGACACTTCCTCGCTTCTAGAAGTGATCAGAGTGTCACTTCGCTTCGAATAGAACTGGCTCTATGTCACCTGTCATGATTTTACAGTCGTTTTGATTATGTGTAGAGTATTCCAGAACATTCGAGAATGCTTTAGACTCTTCTTGTTGAGAACATTCCCGAGGCCTTTTTTTATTGTTTAGATGGGTAGGTGGACAAGCTTACTGCCCACCTGGTCTTAAGTGGTTACTGAAGCCCATAGACATCTACAACGTAAATGCCGCCACCCACCTTGAGACATGAGTCTGTTCATCAGTGTGTAATCTGTGATCACTCGGCGATTGCTTAACTCAAATAACGTCACATCCGATTTTAAAGCTGCGTTGTGTCAATCTAAAATACACAGTATGTTAATGGTAATCGAGTCACACACTGGATTCGCACGGAGTCATTTGTTTCCTCCCAAGTTTACCTCAAGTTTGAAAGCTTCTCTGGTAACCATTTAAGACAAGTACGATAAAGTCCAGGCAGACATTACGACCGGTTGAGAGGGGGGGTGAGATGAGGGCGCGGAGGGCGGCAGTAGAGTGCGCACATTTGAGCCACCCCAGAACGAGTGTCTCGGGTGGTCAAGCTCGTGCGCTACATCGTGTGGAGCCTAGTTATCATCCGGCTCTGTCCCCGTGGCGAGACGGACGATTTGTGGTTCCTACAGCTATACCCTTCTATCCTTATGCTAAACTTTAATTAAAACGCGTTGTAATGCTAATAGTGGTACACTACCAACCAACCAACGTAATAATAATGAACATATCGTCTTCTCGCATTAAAACTGTACTACCAATACTACTATCTATAACTACTGCTACCAATTTTATTACTACTACTACTACTACTACTACTACTACTGCTACTACTACTGCTACTGCGCTGGCGCTATGACCTTGAAGTGAGTCTGACCTCTGACAATAAATGCCGTCATTCATCCCGGTTCTAGTCCGACACTTATATATACAGGGTGTCCCCAAAACGGAGCGACGGGCAGGGTAGTAAGTACTGGTTCAGGGAAAAAAAACTAAAATCGCGTTTCATTGGGCTAAGTGATAATAGGTATATTTATGAAAATGTAGAAAATCGACATTCTACATTGAGTTCGACACCTTTTACTGGAGCTGCATAAATGCAGAAGGCAAACAATTTGCACACTTAATTTAGTTTAGGAAAAATAAACATATTACAATAATTTACCGTATCAATCATGTAACCAGATTCGCACTATTTAATTTATAGTAAACTAGCGACCCGCCCTCGCTTCGCTTCGGAAACTAATTTATTATTGATTTCTCCACTATTTAATGGATGTTATTATACATATAAACCTTCCTCTTCAAAATTACTCTATCTATTAAAAAAAACCACATCAAAATCCGTTGCGTAGTTTTAAAGATTTAGGCATACATAGGGATATAGGGGCAGAGAAAGCGACTTTGTTTTATACTATATAGTGATGTTCACCCGGCCACACATTACAATTTAGTTGTTTCATTAATTTTACCTTTTTTTTGTTTCAAAGATGGCAGCTGAACGCGAAGGAAGCCAACAACAGCAACAGCAGCAGACGGATCAGACGCAGAGCCAAGAGAAGAAGGAGGAGAAGAATTAGATGGATTTCTCTACGGGATTGAGTGAAAACCAAATGTTTAGTCTAGGCTTCATGATCTACTTGTTGGTTTGAATGGGTATCGAAGCGGGACGCGCCTGCAGCATTGTTTTTTAATTATCAAAAGAAAATGGAGAGTAAATACTTTATGCAGACATTGAACTTGACCGTTAAAATACATAGAGGGGTGAAAGGCTATCATAGCTTAAACTTTGAAAAAAATATCACAACAAAAAACTTCCAACTGTTTGAACGGTGTAAACTTAATTGAAGTTCAATTAAAAACATTGAATTGTTGATATTGAGGCGTTAGCCATCATACAAGATATTCGACGGATGCTTGAATCTCGCTTAAGACATTTTCAAGATAAGTTTGAGTATATACAAGCTACGAACCACAACATGCGGACGGACCGTCGGTCTACCGAGCAATAACACCCGATGCTAATACCAAATAAAACGGACCTTTAATTACAAAGATAATTGTCGCTTAAACCAAATAGCCTTTCACCCCTCATTACGTTCCATTCATATGTAAATATAATAATATAAAAAAGTCATAACAGTACTGTGTGTCGTTGTGTATTGTATGTGACTGCTTGTCCGTGTCGCTTGGATCTACGGAAACAGCAGTTTTACAACTAGGAATATGACTATACAATATTATTAATTATAGTTTTGTCTCCATCGTGTCTTTGGTCTTTAGTGAGAATGTGAATATTTGTTAAATAAATCTTATCTAATTATAAACCATACGAAATCACAAGCGGTACGAAGTGAATAGGAAATCTCGAAAGAATTCAAAAAATTCTAGTAACAATGTTGTTGATGTTAACAAAATGATAATTTATTATTGTTCAGTGTCAAATTTGCTTAGACATTAGTTGGACTAAAATTGGGTTTTAGGATTTCATAAAAAAACATCTGCACTATAAACGAATTATTTTGTCACAGTTTAATTAATAATTCCATCATCATACGTTTACCTGCATGACCTGTTCATTTATTTTTGATAATTAAAAAACAAAATGACAGATTCGATTATTTGTTAGTGATTCGGTCGTTGCAAGACGTTCTGTATAAATTATAGCTTTAACTTCACAAATACATAGATGTAGTTGCCGTAGTTATGAACGATTTCTGTTTCAATATCTCTGAAGCATTTGGAGTCTGATGAGAAAATGCGGAAAAAAATTCGAGTTACGTGAAAACAACAATAACTACACGTATGTTATGTATTAAAAAAATTGTAGGGTACATCGACATCAACGGCGCATCTTGTAATGTGGCATTTATTTTTTTCATTACCATTCAATACATGGATGTGTCTGTACCGCTGTCGGTTCGAATTAGAAACCTTTGAAATTTCAATTCTCGTCCATGAGGCATTTGAGGTTCTCGTGTCTCAATATGTCGAACCCCTGCGCGTTGTAAAACACTAAAAATGTACGCTCACGATCGTTGTAAACATGTTATGTTACAATTTAAAAAAAGTGCAATAGTTTTTTTTATCTCATAAAAAATCGACGCCATATTTATAAATTTCAAAAGTTAAATTAATTAAAAAAATGTAAATTGTACAACTACCCAATTGTTGGTAAAAATATATTTTAAACTGAAGAATGAAAAGTGTACAAATGCAAAATTATAGTTACGATGTTTGTATTTAGTGCATTCAAATATTCACTTGGGTAATCTTTGACTTTTAATGAATATATACACAGCATATGTGAGTATTTTGTTGAAAATTGTCACATTTATTTAACCAACGTATATTTGACTAATGCACTATAGGAGTTTTTGCGAATCTGCTTATTGAAGCCCTGAGCTCGACATTCGGATTCGTTTAGTAAGAAAATAAACTAATGCAAACTAGTGTTAAAGTTTATTTTTGTTTGTTTGCCAATGTGACTATCTGCGGTTTTGATTTTGAGAAATAAATTTCGTGTCGTTAATGAGTAGATCATTTTGCTACGTGCGTAGTGTAGTCCACGAGAACGTGCCGTATCTTGTGTCCATTCCGGTGTCGTGTCATCAGTTATGTTCTAATGTTATATTGAAATAAAAATTGTTTTTAATTTATATAATTGTTTTATTGCGTTCGAACTCGATGTGTAGCGATTTCGCGGTGGTAGATTCGGCGATGGGTAAGTGTTAGCAGTCTCCCCGGCTAAGCCCCGGGAGTCCGCCTACATGGTCGGTGAAGCAAGCATAACCCCGCGTGGTTACGAACAGTAAATAAACAAAAAAAAAACATCCCAAGAGCTTTGGTAAGGTTGCGAATACTTGAGGCTGATTGACTGCCGCTTGAGTTACAGGTTTTACCACCTAGTTCAAGCACAGATGAAAATTAAAATTATGATTGTGTCTATTTCTACGCAAACAATAAATATGGGCTTCAGTAACCGCTTAACGCCAGGGCTGAGAGCTCGTCCACCCATCTAAGCTATAAAAAAAAAAGGGTGCACGGGGCCTGTGCCCAGGAGCCCCAAAGGACCGACAATTTCTCTCACACATTTATTCTCAAAACATTTTTGTCGGGCACATAACACTTTTTTCACGAATCAGTAATCTTAACAGAAGGTATTTACAAGGCATATACTACCTCTAAGCAAGGCCTAACATAAATGTCGATATTGTTTATGGTTGGGGGAATCGCCGAATGATGTATTGAACTTTCAGTCTGATAGGAATGAGTGGTGTTATTTTGCTTCATTTGATATTTAAAATTAAATAAAATAAACAGAAATTTTGATTTTTTCGTTTAAACTATTTCATTATGTCGAAAAGAACATATTTAAGTGGTTCACAAAAAAGGAAAAAATTATAGCTCAAAAAGAAATAATGGAAAAACTTCCAAAGCTCACTTCGTCTTTTACTGTTGAAAAAACAAATAAGCCGAGGGATTATTCATCCTCATCACCGCAAGACACAACAAGTAACTCTGAATGTCACCAGGAAAAAAAAGTACGTGTGACGAAAATGACATACCTATACACATTAGATGCTGAACTTCAACTTCCCGCTTCTGTCCATCAACTTCAAGCTACTGTGAATTAATAACTGCGAGCTTAGAGAGGGTATCTGTGTCTCCTGACCCTGGTACTTACTGTGACGATATTTTACCGGAAGAAGTCCGTGATATTTGAATTCGAAAAGGGCCAGAGTTTTTCCAAAATTAGTGACTTCTCCGAAACTTCTACAAGTTTTCCGGATTCAAATGTATAACGAAAACTAGATACTTGACTAAAAATATTTTTATTCGTAAATTGACGAATGGTGAGTCTTTAGAAATAAAATGGCTCCTTTATTCACCAGCAAAGAAATCCGTACCTTATTGCTGCCGTCTATATTAATACTACTACTGGTACTGAATATAATTTAAGTTCTCCTAATGGATATAAAGATTGGAAGCATATAAATAACTTATTTATAGAGCATGAGAACAGTTTACAGCACAGGGAACTTATGATAAATTATGTTGCAAGAATGAAAACGACTGGACGAATTGATACTGAGTTGCTGTCCCAATATAATGCAGAAATTAACTATTGGAAGAATGTGCTTAAGAGGATTGTTGCAGTAGTGAAATTTTTGGCTTCAAGAGGTCCTGCTTTTCATGGTGATAATGAGACATTAGGATCGCAAAATAATGGGAATCTTTTGGTATGCTTAGAACTGATTAGTGAATTTGATCCTTTTCTTGCTGTTATCATACAAAACTGCGGAAATCGTGGAAAAGGAAGTACCTACATCATATTTATCGGCAAATATTTGTAATGAATTTATTAATTTAATGGAACAGCAAATTTTGAAAACCATTGTCAAAGAACTTAAATCAGCAAAGTACTCTATTAGCGTAGATTCTACGCCAGATCTGTCCCACGTTGATCAACTGACTTTCATAGTTAGATAGGTAGGTACGTAAAAGACGGACAGCCTATTGAGAAAATTTTGCCTATGGATGAACATAATGCGCAATATATAGCAGATACCACTTTAAACTTTTTTGAAAGCCTTGATATTCCTTTAAAAGATTGTCGCGGGCAGAGCTACAACAATGCATCAAATATGTCTGGAAAGTACTCTGGTGTTCAGTCAAGAATAAAAGAAGTTTGCGAATTTGCGATTTACTTTCCATGTGCGGCACATTTGCTAAATTTAATGGGTGTTCAGGCTGCTGAGTGTGTTACTGAAGCAGGAACATTCTTTCAATTTGTACAAAAATTGTTCAATTTTTTCTCGGCTTCGTTAAAACGATGGAAACTTTTGACAGAGCATTTAGGCGCAAATAGAGTCCTGAAGTATTTTTCAGAAACTAGATGGTCTGCACGCGCCAATGCTATTAATGCTTTGCAAAATGGTAATTTAAATATTTCTGAAGCATTGTCTTCAATTGCAAGTGACATCAATCAACCAGGAGACACTAGAAAGGAAGCCTAGAAAGGAAGGAAAGAAAGCCTAGTAAAAAAAAAGGGAAAATTTGAGACTGCTCTTCTAACGGAAATATAGAATGATCTTTTGAGAGTTATGAATAAAGCAAGCTTAAGTTTACAGAATAGCAATATTATGACCGTGGACGTAAAGGGCAATGCCCATTTTCACGGAATAGATAAATAAGGTTGGAAAGGCCTTTGCTCTAATTTTGTATTAGAACCAGTGTCGCCGCTTCATCCCCACTATTTTAATTTCTACACATACACACACTGTGATTACAAGTATTTCGCACACAACAAAAACACCCACACATAAATCTCAGGACAGATATTCGTTCGCAAACTAGCACAAAACACCCGTAGGCATACACACTCACACACGCAAAAAGGCAATAAAAATGTTCATACACGCTAGTGCTTGATAAAATCGATATTCTTTATCGATAAATTATCTGATGAATGAATGGAGAAAATGAAACATGAAATAAATATTGAAAAA